CAGTTCCTTCAGATAATTCAACAGCATTAGCAATCGTTAAATTATTTCTTCGATTTAATTGGACATCATGTATAGTTATTTATCAAAATGATGCATATGGATCTGGAGGAGCTAAAATAATAAATGAAGCACTCATTAATAATAATTTATTTATTGAACAATTCATTATATTTGATATAACTACAGTTCGTATTCGAGGTGATTTAAAAAGTTATTTAATAAATAGTCCAACTCGAATTGTTATTTTATGGATCGAATCAAAGCATATAAATTTCATTTTGGAAAATGCTATTCAACATGATCTATTGGCTCCACAATTTACATGGATATTAAGTTCAAGTATTTCATTAAAGAATTTTAATAAAACATTTCATGAAAAATTAATTGGATTATTTTCAATTGAACCTGTTACAGCTAATGTTCTTAATGCACCAATAAATATGACATTATTAAATTCAGCATATCAAATTTGGCAACAATATGAACCAGAAACATTTCCTACATCAAAAAATGTAAATTTCTATGCATTATTTGCATTTGATGCCACATGGACATTAATTAAATCACTGGAAAAAATTTGTTCAACAATGAAAAATAATTCTTATTCATGTTTATCTTTTATTGGATCTTCATTTTGTTTTCATCGACGTTTTGTTCATTCTGATTTATTATTGAATGCACTTTGTCGAACAGATTTTCTTGGTGTATCTGGTCCTATTAAATTTAATTTTAATGTAACAGATCGAATCATTGGATCATATTATTATGCACAAAATGTTCAACCTTCTGAAAATGGTTTAAATTTTGTACCAGTATTAGAATATTCGGATTCTACTCATTGGAAAACATTTAAAGAAACGAATGTTATTATTTGGCCAGGAAATTCATTAATACCTCCGACTGGTCGAGCAGTACTTAAAGGTATATCTTTAAGAATTGGTGTTGTTGAATCGATTCCATTTACAATAGTTACAAATGTTATTGATGAATTTGGGCAAAATACAACGAAATTAACTGGTTATGTACCCGATCTTATTGAATTATTAGCTGATAAGATTGGATTTATTCCAAATATTCAGTTAGTACCAATCAATCAAACATATTCGGGATTAATTCAAGAAGTAGTCAATGGCCATTATGATATTGTCATTGGTGATGTTACAGTTACTTCTATACGAAGAGAATTAGTCGGTTTTTCTAATGCTATATTTGATAATTCTTTACGTATTATTATGCGAAAAACACCTGGTGTCAGTATTGAATTGTTATCATTCTTAAAACCATTTTCAAATACTCTTTGGTTATTAGTCTTAGGTGCTTGTGTCTATGCTGGTTTATTAATTTGTCTTATAGAAACAAAAGATAATGAAATATTTCAAAATCGATCAATATTATCTAAAATAACAATGAGTATTTGGTATTCATTTGGTAATATTGTTGGATATGGTGTAGACTTTCATGTTAATACTGCTGCTGGACGTGTATTAACAGCTGGCTTATATATGTTAAGTTTAATATTAGTAGCTACATACACTGCAAATTTAGCATCTGATTTAACAATATCAAAATCAAAAGATGTGATTTCAAGTATTAATGATATTAAAAATGGAAAAATTCCATTTAATCGTATTGGTATGCGTATTGGTACAGCTGGTGAAGATTATTATTTAAGAGAAATATCTTCTGGTAGTCGAAATTATTATCCATTAAAATCTCGAAAAGAAACATATGATAGTTTACTTGCTGGAATTATTGATGCATCTTTTATGGACATTGGTACTGGTGAATATATAACTAATAATATTTATTGTAATTTAACATTAATTGAAGATGATTTTGATAAAGGAGTCTTTGGAATTGTTACCCCAAAAGAATGGTTATATGCTAAAGATTTAGATGTTAATATATTACTATTAAGGGAATCAGGTCAACTTGATGATTTAAGACAAAAATGGTTTCGAAAAAGAAATTGTCCTAGTTTAGAGGAAACATCAGCTGCTATGGAAATTAATTCAATGAGTGGATTATTTTTAATTTTTGCACTAATTACTTTGCTATCATTGTTATTATTTATATGGTCGAAACGATTTATTATTAAAAGTAGTTTACTTAATTTACTACATCGAAAGAAATTCATATTGAAAAAGAAAACTAACATGATAAAGCACTCAAGTAAAGAATCAAAGCACAATATAAACTCTGTCATACCGTCATCTACTATTGTGCAACTTTGATCATGAAGCTCTCTTTGCCTTTGTTTACTAGAAAGTCAAGCCACTTCTATGGCGTTATATTAATTTTCATAATCAAAACAATATAAAAAAACATTACGAAGACTTTTTCGGACTCCATATTCAATATTGAACATATTTATGTTTAGTAATTTATGATAAAAAAAAACAGAAACAAAATGAAAACTGAAACATCATGTCGTTATACTGCCTCGTGCAGGTTGACTTGAGCAGTTGACAGACATATAGATAAAATGATAGACGCTCATTTAGAATTAAATATAAAATTCTTTTATGTGCTGGTGAGGGAACCACTCGAGGTGATACGTGCTGTTCGATCTCATACTGCGCTCTCAAGGAAATATTGACGAGACTAGCAAAAACCTAAAACGATTCATTCGCATGTGCCTTTAATGCCAAGTTATGGACATTTTACTGAATTTTCAATTCCTTTTTTGTATATTTACCGAAAAAAAAACGAATTTAGACCTAAAATCTTGGCTCTAGATAGGTTCATTACTTTAAGAATATTTTGAAAATTTCAATAGAAAATAATGTTTCGCTGTCTAGACATTGAACTTTCAAGTAAACTTAATTTTTGTGGCATATCTGTAGCAAGCGAAAGTTTTTTGTACATTCAATATCTGGCCAAAGTAATACCTTTTTGATCGAAACTGTCAGCATATTCTAAAGGTCATTAGATCTATATATAGACAAAATTTTATGTCAAAATTTGGTTTTTTGATTGTTTGATGAATACCTGAAAATGATCCGAAACGTCAGTAACGCAGACATAACGCGGTACCAAAGCACTCATGGTCTTGGTAAAGACACAATAAAACGACTATGAATTGCTTTCATCGACTGAATTCTGGCTTTGTTAAATAATTTGAATATCTTTTTATCGAACATAGTTTGACGCATGTTAATCCGAATGTCATTTAGAATTGTCATGATGAAATGTAATGATATGTGCACCACATGCTGGCATGCTCTTCTGATTTTAATCTGTAAATGATTTCAAACAATGATAAATTAAGCAAAGATAATAGGTGGTTCGCCCTTCTTCAACATGATGGCTTAGCACAGATCCATACGTTTCGAAATAGATGCAAAACAGAGCTTTTCAATGAAAAATAATTGAATGAAAGTGCGGTCGACGAAGTACCTCCAACAGATGTTCACGTAATATTGTTGTCGGATGGTTTTAATGACAAAATCACGTCTTTCCATCGGTCACTATCATAGACAGTCTCCATATTCCTAGCTGGAACTTTCTCAAAGAACAGCCGCCGAGGAAGTCATTCTCTCGCCACTATTATTTTTTGTATAAAAAACCTTTCGGATGTAGCAAGTCACGTGTGGTTGTGCATATTTGTTTATTTCGATAGTTAATAAAAAAGTCACATCCACACCCTATAATCTACATCCAATGATGGCTTTACCTTTAATTTGAAGCTATTCCACGTTGCACGAAGTGCAATATGACAGAAGCTGATTCCTAATAATAAAAAAAGTTTTTAAGATAATTGAAATACACCTCGAAAATATAGAAACAGGAATCGCTCGTAGTTGCCATGAGCAGGAATGAAAAGTATATTGAAGGTACTTTGAGAATGAAAAAAAAACAACAATTTCTTTATATTTCGCAGATTAGATTTAAGAATAAAAAATAGGTGTAAATTCTAATTACAGTTTAAACATAAGTCAGAAAAATCATAGGATGAATTCCGTACAATTCCTTTTACTTATTGTCTAGTTACTTCTGATCCATCCTGTTAGTATCACGAGTGAATATTTTTCATTGGACATATGCTGCATGTACGTGATATAGCCATATATTTATATAAACATCTTATCTTCCTGACGCGCATACTACTTCACAATCTGCTATTGTTGTTTTGAGACTGCACTTTTTTTCTCTTTTAAGTCACATTGATAAACATCATTGATTCAGATTTCCATCGTTTATACTAACAAGTTTAACAATGAGCAGAGTAAATGAGATATTTTTAACAGTTCTTCATATTCAAATTGTGTTTTGGTGTTGGATACCATCTATCGTATCGATACAGATTAGTCCTTGTGCACGTTGGAATACAACAGGTGTAATTGTGGCTGGCATTGGTGGGAGAGGTAACAGATGATTAAAAAAAAACACGTGATCAGAAGAAGAAACAGGTTGAAATTTCTTTTCATTTTTACATACATGTACATATAAACGAAAATATCCTATTTTTCTTTTAGTAATCAAAGCCAAATGAAAATATACTGTCATTTCTACTTAAAAAGTCTTGCTTATTTTCATGTATTTATATTATTTTCGTGGTCGTCAAAAATGAAGTCACTTGTGAATAAGACTTAACAAGCTTGATCAACTTCGTGAACCTGAAGGAATTTTCATTCATAGACAAAGCAACACATTATATGTAGCTGATACTGGTAATGAACGTATTCAAATGTTTTCACTTAATCAGTTATCAAGCATGGGTGCCACGATGATATCCAATGTCACATATCCTTCAGCGATCTATGTTGATGACGACAGCAATGGACAAACCATTTATGTTTCTCTTCGAAACGAAGACCGTGCCAAAAAATGGGTTAAGGGAGCATCAGATGGCGTGCAAGTCGGAGGTGAATGTTTAATGTATGATAGCGTATCGGTCGACAAAGAGAAAAATGTGTATATGTCATCAGTGATGAGGCATTGTGTATACAAGTGGTCACCACGAACAAATATCACGACAGTCGTAGCTGGTAGAGAAAATGGCCAAGGATCAAAAAGTAAATCTCAATTCTCCTGAAGGCATTCATGTCGATGATACCAGTGGTACGGTCTATGTGGCTAATTATGCAAATAATCGCATCCAGAAATGGTTAAAAAATGCTCTTAATGGTACCAATGTAGCGGGGTTTAGCACTGGTGAAGAAGGCGATGATCGTGAAGCGTTGTCAAATCTGACTGCTGTATGGGTTGATGATGAGACTCAAGTTGTATATGTAGCGGATTCATCCAATAATCGAATTCAACGTTGGCTACCAGATGCATTCATAGGTGATACCATTGCTGGTGGATCAGCTATGGACGTAGAATCTTGACTAGCTTTGCTCGACTTTTCGATTCAGACGTTTACAAATATAGTCGTTTGCAAGTTGTCAATGATATTCATTTAAAAAAAGTTAAAGATAAGATTGAGTGAAAAATTAACTAATATGTTGAAGGAAAAAGCAGGTTTGAGCTTTTACTATGACGAACTGAGAGTAATGGTGAATGACGATAAGAATGTGTTACCTTTATTTTCATCCACCCATTATTAATCTTCTGATTCATTGATAGATGTGCCAGGTATTTTTAGCTATTTTCAATCTTCGACCAAGATTCAAAATTTTTATTCACTGTTATAGAGAAAAAAACGTATTTTCATTATTCTCTTTGTCTAACAATATTCTATAATAGGCTGGGGCGACAAACCTAATCAATTCGAGCAACCTATTGATTTGACATTTGATAACAACGGCAACCTCTACGTGTGTGACCGCGTGAATGACCGTGTTCTCATGTTTACAATAGTGTACAATGAACCATGTTTTCCCATATCGACAACCAGTTCAGGTACTTTATTTTAAATATTTTCTTGTTTATCACAATTAGGTATGTGACAGCTCCAGCTTTCCCGAGTTGGAGAGGATCACCAGCTCTTTTCATATGAGTTATCTTATAACTTTTCTAGGACTACCTAGGATACTCATAAGCCCTCAAGGACTATCGAGATGTAGTACGTCTAACTTTTCAAGCACTGTCTCGGTGTAGCCCTGGCAACTCTTCCAAGACTATCTAGGGAAGATGTCGAATGCCACCAACTCTACAAAAACTAGCTAGCCACAATTCTCCTAGCTGATCGAGAGCTCTCAGGTGTGGACGGGTGAGTGTGAGTCGTCTCTCCAATTACAACCAAACTCCCACCAACACTCGCATTCACACACCCTGCATGAGGAAGAATAACAAAGGTATCTACTTATATAATCTCAGCGATTTCATGGCAACACTAAATGTTTCCGAGCATAGGCACTAGATCATGTTGAGTATCGTGACAATTTTTGGTGCTCTTTTGATGTTCTTCCGTAAATGCTTACGGAAATTATTCGAAAAGATCAATTTAGCATGCTGAATCGATAGAACTAAGCCAAATAATCAGAAAATCAAATACTATCATTTGGAGCATTTAGATCTTCTGGTAATCTCGTTCGATGCATGCGAATTTAGATGCCCTTTGTAACTTGTGTTTACCATTATCATGCTACTCTAAATAGATTAGGAAATTTTTAGCTTGATTAGATCGCAAATGTTGTTGCCACAAATATTTCTTTACTATGGGGTTACACGTGCAAAACTCATTCTTTTGAATACTTTTCGCATGTACATACTTAGGCGGGCATGTTACAAGAGAACAAAGGCTGTCAAAATATTCAAAATACCCGAGTGCTTATGTTTGAACACATTTGGCATTACCTAATGGTCACTGAGATTGTGCAGATGAAAGTGGAAAAATTTTTAAAGTTGTCAAGATTCATAAAGGGCAATCAGAGTAATCATTCACATGTTTTGACAATGGAATTCCAGTGGCATTTTTTCAATGCCCTTACCAAAAACATTTAATCATCTATTGATCATTTTCCTATCCATGAATAAAGTAAAATTTACATCATTTAATAAAACCTCTTATTCTTTTTCTTGAGCTAAAAGATGCGGCGTTCTAGCTGCTTTCTTTCTACAATTATTGAATTTATAATCGAATCGACAGTAGGGCCTTGACAACTGTATTATGACACTTCTTTCACTAGTTTCTTTGAACTATTCACTTAGTAAACAATCCTCCTCAATTTCTCTTTGAATGCATTCTAATTGCAACTGACTTTGATTCTTTTAGTAACTGATTCACCTTCAGTTTTGTCAAGCTATTCGAATGCACAAATGCCAAGTAGCCCACAATTCCATCGACCCTTTGGTGGTAGCAAAGATTATTATTACTATCAGGCTATTCACGTTGCTGCATTCATCCGTGGAACTTACTCTTTTGAGAGCCTATCTGATATGCACACTATGGGCTTTTTATACGACTCATCTTTCGATCCATCAAATTTATCGGCGAATCTCGTCAGTTATAGTGATAATAATGATACCATAAAAGGATTTCGTATGGACTTTCTTCTCTCATCTGCACGCACATACATTTTGGTTGTGACAACATCTGAAGCAACTGTCACGGGAGACTTTTGGATATTAGTCCATGGTTCAGCTTCAGTCAGGCTTACGTCGAATACATCACCAACTGGTAAGTTAGTAATAAGCCGGTAGATTTCTTACACGCTCTGTACTTTATTGGAAAAGCAATGCTTCTTCGTATGTAAAATGACTCTAGGTTTTGTTTATTTTATCGATGATTGTGTATTATGTGAGAACAGCGGTTATCACTGACTCGATTAAATTATTATTTTTTCTTTTTTAGGTAGTCTGCACAGCATTCGCACTCAGTTTTTAGTTCCAGATGATAAATGCGCTAACTATCTATAACTGAAAACCTATAATTTGTTTTGAGGATAGGGTATGAACATGGGTGGTGGTTGTGAAAAGACACTCATTCATAACTAGATCCGGATCTAGGTATCTACATCAACATTCTGTCTGACACCGGTACTGATGACCATCCTACCTCTTTCACCCACACAGATTCTTAGATGCTTTTTTTATGGATGGCATCCAGGCTTTCTCACAATATACGGTAGATACTAGTATACAATACATTCAAGTCTTTGTCTAGTTTTCTGATTGACACTTGCTGTTTTCGGTTTAGTCATTCCTTAACCTTCACGATATTCGCCTTTTCACCAGTAGTAGGTGGCCAACTGAAAGATTCAGCTAGATCGATAGTATCGGTCTTCTCCATCATTTATGATTTTCTTTGAATTGTTTGAAATGATACTACAAATTCCGGATCACGATAAATCTTTGTTGCATCGTAATTATTGTCATGTTTGATTATTAACATATTTTCAGATGCTTGATTTCGACTTTTTGAAATGCATTGCCTGAAGTTCTTCAAAAGCATGTATCATACTGTTTCGTAAAGAAATTAACAGAGACTCTTCTGGAAGGTATCTATGCAGACATGCCCAAAGAAAATCAGGAGCAAGATTGAAAATAATAACTGCGCCATATTTCCTTCAAGCTAGATTCACAAACTATTTAGATCATAAAACAACTAATCCAAGTTCCACGACCACGACCATGATCAACAATCCGATTACCTTCAGCAGTACTCTTAGATCATCAGCATCAATCAAAGCAGACTCAATAGCAATAACATGCAAGTTGATCGATTGATATAAATGCGTTAGCAACCGACGACGAACATGAAATGATAGTAATCTACAATCCCCCGCAACATCTGTGAGAACAAATATTTCACGTTGCTCATTAGCGTTCGAAACGAACCGCAAGTTCTGCATTCAAATTCACTTCATAGCATACATTATTCAAGTGGTCTTTGGTAAATTCTAACTTTATACCTGAAAACAACTTTTGGAAGTTCACTAATGATGTGGATTACTTTCCTTTTCGCCGATCTCGTATAAGTCTGTCGAATGAACTGCTAATAAGACAAGCTCATGAGTGTTTCTACATGAAGTGAACATAGTAATAACGTACTCTACGTCACGTATATGAATCATTGTCAGTTTTTCGCTCTTATCTATGGTAAGCAGATCCCTTATCCTTCAGGTAATTTCGAGTTGCGTCATATTCTGCCAGTCTCAACTATTCAGTCATTGTTCATTAACATTCCACGGCATCGTCTACTTCTGATCTATTATCAACCTAGAAATGACAATGAATTGGATGTCTTTCTTAATGGATTCTTTCGCGTTATCAATCTACTTTAGCTTAGGAGTTTAAGAAGCTAATCATAGATACTTGGTATTCATTACATCCACTTCCAATATTATTCAAAATGTCTTTTAGTTATTTGTATGCTGATCATGTCAACGCTACGAATGCTTCAACAGCGTATCTTCTAATCGAACGACAATGCGATTAGTCGAAGTTTCTAATTTGTTCAAGTCACCAGTTTATCATTTTGTCCAGTAACAATAAACCAACTTCTCACATTTCAATTATATATTCAATCCTAACTTTTCTTTTCTTTTTGTAGCGAATGTTCATTGCTTATGATTAAAAGTCATCAACATCATCGTTTCCTTTTCACTATCTTTACCATGATAGAAAAACGGCTTTCGATCTTGCTTACTTAACATGGATAAAAGGTTAAGTGGCACGTTTCTGTTTCATTAGAAGAGTTTTACTTGTAATGGAGTTATGTGGCTTCTGCTTTTCTGAAATCTGTTCATTCGCATTACATAAAAATCTAACGAGGGAACCTTTTCAGATGATACCCTCCGTTTTGATTCGTTCGTATCTCATTTAATCGAGTATATTGAGGTAGTAAAAAGTCTAAATGGATTTTTCCCCAATGTTC